ATCTTCCATCCAATGCCGTTCATACTGTTTGTCGGGCTATCTAAACACGGGTTCGGATGCTTCGCGCTCCAGCCGGTTCCTGCTGGTACGAAGATAGCGACAGGGGAAGACGAAAACAAGGTAAAGTCCGAGCTTGAAGAGCTGGTGAGCAGCGGATGGCAGCTCGACAAGAATGAAGTACAAGTAGCGAAGACATATCATCTGGCTAGTTATCGCAATGTGAAAGTATGTAGTGGTTTCTGCAGCTCAAACGAAGCTAACAGCGTTTAGTTCTTATCACTCGAGATCATGTCGCGAAGTCAAGTTAGGAACCATCATCCGGTGCTGACCACTGTATGTCCCTGGGCTGCAAGTTGAGGATGTAACAGCTCACTCTTTTGAAGACCGTACATTGGACGACCCATAATCCTCCCGGCCTCACTGAGAAGGATACATACATGGCTAAATACTGTGATGATGCGGCGGAGACAATAGGCACGGTGGATCCGGAAGAGTCAAAGAAATGCGGCTCTACGAAGTCGCAAATCTAAGCGAATGAACAGTTATGCTCTCTTTATGACTTTCAAATTCTAAAATTCAACATAATGGGGCGGTTTTTGAAGATATAGGCCGTTTACGCCAGCTCACAGGAATGGTCTAAGGCTGTGATAGAGCCTCCAACAAGGTTACCATCTAACTTGGAAGACTGCGGCGATGTCCTGTTCAGCCTCTGATGGCAAGGCATGTGATGACCGTATTCTGAGTAGCATGCCGGGTGCTCAGAATAGGCATTCTGATCAAGGCACCTTGGCAGAACTATATAGGCTCCTTACACCCGACACTTAGTTGTCAATTTGATCATTGATACTCACTGTGACGCCTGCTCGACCTTGTTGAAGCGCCTCAAGCACATACTCTAGGGATAAGCTGCTCCTGCTCTTCGAAGCATAAAGGTTTATTACATAGCCCTTGCTTTATTAAATTTATACTACTTTTCATAGACTATTCTTTTCTATATTATTAGAACCTAGTATTAAGCTATATAGATTAAGACTCGATGTAGAGCCATAATACTGAGGTACTCCGCATTCTCCTCGAGGCTGGGGCAAGTCCTAATCCTTAGGTGCCAAAGACTTGTTTCGCAGCAGCCCACTCATTTCGGCCACCTTTGGCGGTCTGATAGGGATGGTAGAGCTGCTTATCAAATTTGGCGCCGAAATCAATCATCGCAATCCAGAGGGTCGTACCGCGTTGCAGACTGTTGCTAGCATGCAGACTGTCGAGTTCGCGGAAATGCTACTCAACCATGGCGCCGACTTGAGCTATGTAGCGAATAACAGACACTCACCATTTACTACGGCAATAACGTTTAACAACCACGCCGTGCTACGACACTTCCTTGAACGATGCGATAGCAACCAGTTGTCGGGCCTACAGCTACTGCCCATCGTGGCCGAGTGGGCGGACGTGACGACGATGACGATGCTCGCGTCATCAGATATCTACCACTATAGGACCCCTGTTTTAGTGCATTACTCCAAGGGATGTGCTAAATCCGCCCCAAAAATTCGCCTTGCTCGTGGATAAGATCAGCATCAGCTAGGCGGCAATGTTACCTAGTCATTCTCTCCGGGTGGGGTGCCGACGAACGTATTGGCCCCAAAACAGGTTGATCCTTGCATTGTTAGTCTTGACCTAGGACATGATCAGGACAGTATCTTTATATGACCAGGTGTGAAATTGAATACCGGTCTGGACGAAAGAAAACAAAGAATGGGAACTTGAAAACGGACGTTCCCGCGTCAGTCTCGCATTAGCATTGCACCAAGATGAGAGATTCTCAAGCATGAATTTCATAATTTAATAGGCATATCTCATTTCGTTAGCCGAACACGCAGTCCGAAATTTCACGTGTCTGAGTGTTAAGGAAAGCAAACGTTCCAGCTCCCCTGCAGACTCATGCTCTTATAAAGCGACGGCATGCATCCCAATTCCAAGCCCATGTTCTCCACCTCGCCAACCATGTCCAGATTCTCAGTCTCGCTGTTAGCCAGCAAGTAGACCAGCGCTTCGTCCCGAGGAGCGCGGAATGACACAGGGATACGACACAGTCCAGTTGCATATTTGTTTGGCTCGCTCATGGAGTCTCACCCATTCTACATATACCAGACATTGCAAGAGCATGAAAAGACGATCATTACAAACCTCAGCTGAAGGCTGCCGTAGGCTACAGCGCAATTGTCGAAGG